TGCGGCATCTGCTCTGCTTGTCGAATACCTGTCTACGCTGCGATGCACGGAAGCCTTGATTCGATTTTCAAGAACTTCAGGCATCTACCCCTTGAAGCATTGACTGGGCTTCACCATGCTTCTGCTCAGCCACTCCGGCATTAAGTAGCTACTACTTTAAAGCCAGACGTGCACACACGCCGCAACCTGTCAGCAGAAAATCGGCAGCGCCGGAACACTAGGAACGCGTGCCAAGCTCAGTAAGGGTGTGAAAGCTCAGGCCCGGGGGGACCTCAAGCACCGCACCGCGCCTCTGCTCCGCCATGTCTCCTGCCCAGACCGGCTCCCCGTGCTGTGCTCGGTGCTATGCTGGCAAGCTGACAAGCTCATTGTCAAGGAAACACGCCTGACATGTAGTGGTACTCACCATCAGAATTTGTTTATGGACGGTACCTACGGGTTTATGTGCTTTCAAGAAACCTTGCCGGAATGACTATGTAGGGATTACCGTCGGGATGGAACCGTAAGCATTAGTACAGGTAGAACTACAAGCAGCTGCTTGCTTGGAACTGCACCGGCTTCTCAGGCCTATTGGACGTCCAGCGGACATCCCTGAAGCTCTGGCAGCCCAGCTTCAAGTCAGGGAACAGCAGACACGCCTGGGACTGCGACAGCCTTGTCACCGTCAGCCTCCAGCCAGCATGTACCACAGGGAGCAAGGGCCGTCAGTATCTTTGAATCACGACAGAAGCCATGGTAGCTCTGGGAACGGAAGAGCTGGATGTACATTTGCCCAGCCTGAAATTCAGGGCCCACCCCGGTCGTACGGCCTCCAAAGGCCCGAAGTGCCTAAGCACAACAGGACCGAACGCTTCAGAACGTCAGAAGGACTGCTGCCTGAGGATTCAGGTGGGCTCGCAAAATCCAAAGACAATTTGACCGGCTTTGGCCACCAAAGGCTTCGGAAGCCTGAAGACAAGGCCTGCCCAGCTCGGAAACCACTTGCCGGCGTAGGCACCGCTCCGTTGAACTTGAAGCCGGGGTTTCCGGGCCGATCTAAAAGGGCGCGTCGCCATGCAGATCTGCCACTTGCGGCCCGAGCTTATCTCAGGCCTGCGGCCCTGCAACTAACATGAGACCCTTGGAGAACCGTTTTTTTTCCACAGAACGTACACAGCTCCTGAAGCCCATTTTCCCTTGCCCCCAGAGTCTTGGGAGGTACCACAAACCAAAGCCAACAAAAAACTTGGATCTTAAGATGACAACATTAAACCTTCATCAAATCAAAAACGTCAACCCGGTTCTGGCGCCATTTTCTGGGAATCTGCACGCTTCCCCGCCTCAACCGTGAAGCGACGGCATCACGAGGTCCTACCCCGCCCTCTGCATGGTCTTGCAAAACCAAAGGTACCCGCGTGGTCTCAGAGAGCGTGGGAGGCTGGCCGCTGCGAGATGAAACGCTCTCGGCTGGCGTAAACAAGACTTCTCAGCAGAAAGGTAGCAGTTGAGAAAGTGTAGAAGCACCCAGGCATCCAGACTTGCCTTCGTGCCCGGCGTCGCAAGCTTTAGCCTATCTCAATTGTGAACTCTGGCATGGTTGGCTCTCCGGCCCCAGAGCTCTTGAGACAACAGCAGCCGGGGGTTTCTTAGCTTTGATGCAGCTTACGTTGCGGGTGCGGCAGGCTCGGAGAAACCACTCTTAGGGGCCTAATGGCCTAGTTGGCAGTGGATGGGCTTGACATGGACGCTTTCGAAGGAAGGCAACACGAGGAACGGGCAAACATCATGCAACAACATGACCGCAGCCACGGCACGCATCGCAAATGCTGCTGCTTCCAAACAGTGTTCTCTAACCGCTGCTTCTGGACAGGAGTTGCTCTCTGGGGTCACCACGATGTGCATGTGCAAGCCAGCAGCACGCAAGGCAGGGCCAACTTGGCCCTTTGGTAGCAAAGCACCGAAGCGTGAACATGCGTGAAAAACATGAAGAAAAGGCCAGACCGGGAAGCCGAACAGATCGTTCCCCCTTCCTACCCAACAGTGAGAGAAAGAGCCGTCCTCCAGACCCGGAGCCCAGCGGTGCAGCTTCACCCGCAAACTTACGACGTGCATCTCAGCCTTCGTCAGAACACCACGTGGCAAAAGCCTACCTGCTCGGAGATTCCTCCGGCACTTGTCTAAGTTTCAACAGCAGGGCTGAGGCCGGGAAAGCCGGGAAACCCGCGCTGCGCAATGATGCAACTTGCATCTGCATAATTCTATTCTACCGTTGTGGCAGACGTGTCACTGTCCCAAAATCAAGCTGCAGTCATTGCAGTTGCAGCTGCTGGCAGCCGATACCTTGCATTGGCTGAACTTTGAAGACTCGCGGCAGGACGCGGCCTTGCTGTTGTTGCTGGGGTCAATGACAGCGATGCTGCAAGAGTTCGCTTGGGGAGTCTTGCGGGGGTTCCCACCGTGGCTGTGTCCCTCTACCGTGTTGGCATGCCCGCTGGCTGCCTCAGACGACGAAACGAGGACGAGCAGCAGGCCAAGGGGTGACCAGGCACGTGAAGGAGCGATCTGTGTCAATCGGGACAAGCCAGCGCCCGAGCCTGACCCGGAAGCTTGGAGCATCATGGGAACCGGCGCTGCCATCACCACACGAAACACATTGGGACGACAACATCAGCCTCGATCTCCGACCGAAACTGCGAGCTCTAGGACATGCTCACCACAAGGCCCCCTTGCTTCGAACAGCCTCAACCAAGACGGATATTCGGCACATTGTAAGGAGACGGCTTTTCACGACGACCGCTTCCGAAGCCTCCGCGAATGCAAGTGTCTGAATCGTCGCGAGGGGCCAAAGCCAAGGAACCTCTGCCTTGGTCTGCGTGGAATGGCGGAGCCTAGGCCTAGGCCAGCAGGGCTCGAGCCGAGGCCAAGGCTGTAGGCCTGCCGGGCCTGCCGGGCCTGCCGCCTTCGTGCCAGATCATGGATCTAAACCTTGTTCGTCTCTGGTCGGACATCACAAGTGAGAAAGCAGATCAAGGACGCAGCAGCTGCACTGTGGGAGTCTTTTCAAGGTCGATCTGCACTTCTTAAAGGACACCTGGACGACGGAACAGGCCCCCCGAACATTCGGGACACTGCAGCTTCTTCGGGCCATGCTACGGAAGGCTGATGACTTTAGAAAGGTCTCAGGCACCTCTTCTCATGCTTAGTTTCAGACGTCGGCATTCTGAACCCGATGGTGGGTCTCTGAATGGAAGGATCACGTGAACCTTCCCCTTTTGCCCCCTTTTCCCAAGCTGATGAAAACAACGCTCGCTGTGAGAGCAAACTGAAGCTGAAGGCTCGGAGCATCTGAGCTTTTCCCAGGGAAAGCAAAAAGTTCCCTTGGGCGGCAATACTGGATGCACCCCACAAATAAAGAGGCCTCCTCTCAGCCTTTCACTTCTTCAGCCCGGCTGGCCATGGGCTCTCGAGAGCTGCGCCGACAGAAACCGAATCATGCTACGCGAACTCTGTGCAGTGTGGGGAAGAGCTGCATTTGTTCAGACCCTTAAAGCCTCGAGTTGTTTGGGCTGCCCCCTGGCAGCCCAGAACGTCGGAAGCGCTGCAGTGATCCTCTGACAGGCTCAATGGAGATCCTCAGGATGCATTCTTTTCGGGAGTGAGACTCCGATTTTGCGAAACTCTGCCGGGCAATCTTCAAGTCTCTGAAGGCCAGGGCCTGAATAGGCAACCAGCTGGGCCAGACCAGGACCAGGCCACTCTGATTTCGCAGAATGCGGCCGAGGCCACCAAAGGAAAACTGTGAGGGCCCGGGTTCGCCGCACACCTCGGATCGCTCGGCCTGGCGGCAAAACACCGAAGCTCCCAAACCAGTCATCGAGTCCTCAGCGCCTCAGGCCTCAAATGGGGACAGATGCATTTCTGTAGCAAAACCTCTCCGCCTCTGCCTCTTGTCTTCAAGGCGACGCCCGCTCAAGCCGATAGTCCAGTTGACCTCTAGCCGAGAGTTGCTCATAGAGCACTGCCAGCAGCGGCTGTCCCAGATCGAGCATGGGGGCCTTTGTTGTCTTCAGCACCGAACCGAACTCATCTAACTTCTGCGGCTGCACGACACACAATGCGCCCTTGCGCGATGACATCAGCCTGCAAGGCAGCCTCACAAGCCTCAGATGAAGTGCTGCAAGGAAGTCCCACACACAAGGTTTGAAAGCTGCAAGAACGGCCCGGCACCAAAGACACGGGATTGGCTGTTGATCACTTTCACGACAAGACTGTTGTGTGGCAGCGGCGTACAGACGTGAGACCTAGCGGCGACGATGGCTGACGGCGAAGGCCAAGCTCGACAGCTGGTTCCTCCCGCAGCTGGACAAGTCTCAAAGACCATCGGCGCGTGAACCACAACCACTGCACCGTGCGGCACGAAGGTGGCACTAAAGCGGGATGGAGGAAAGCAGTGACTTCTGTCACGCTCTTGCAAAGTCTCGCGCATTGCCAATCACACGAGCTCCTGCACTCGCGCTCCGCTGCAAGACTCGGCCCTCCTCTAGCACCAGCGGACACTGCACCGTCAACGAATGGCACGACGATAGGAAGGACAGGAGTCTTTTTGGAGTAACCACCCACGCCGTCAAGGGACTGCTTATGCGACTTGAGCTCGAGTCACTGCCAGATGCAACAGATACAGATCAGGACAGCCAACCATGATTTGGCCCCTGCCGGCAACTTACTGGTCACTTACCCCTCTGGATAGCTTGCCGGCTGGAAAAGAGGCATCGTGGGAGCTTGTCCGAGCACAGAAAGCTCCACTGCAGCGCGAAAGGCGCACCCACATCTCACAAGACCAGGAGTCAGGTTCACTCCTGTAGAACAAACAGGAGCTCCTCAATGTCAGGGTCAGAGAAGGAAGATTGGCATCATGAGCAAAGGCTCCGGCCCCTGCACTCTCGCCAGCGGGCAGAGGCCTTTGCGAAGCTGGCATGCCACAAGTCTGACCTGCAAGACCTCTCCGCTTCTGCCTCTTGTCGTCAAGGCGACGCCCGCTCAAGCCGATGGTCCAGTTGACCTCTAGCCGAGCGTTGCTCATAGAGCACTGCCAGCAGCGGCTGTCCCAGATCCAGCATGGGGGCCTTTGTTGTCTTCAGCACCGAACCGAACTCATTTAACTTCTGCGGCTGCACGACACACAATGCGCCCTTGCGCGATGACATCAGCCTGCAAGGCAGCCTCACAAGCCTCAGATGAAGTGCTGCAAGGAAGTCCCACACACAAGGTTCGAAAGCTGCAAGAACGGCCCGGCACCACAGACACGGGATTGGCTGTTGATCACTTTCACGACAAGATTGTTGCGAAGCGGCGGCGTACAGCCGCGAGACCTCGTGGCGACGATGGCCGACGGCGAAGGCAAAGCTTGCCGGTGATGCTTCTCCCGCCGAACAAGTCTGAAGCAACATCTGCGCATGAGGCGCAGCCATTGCACCCTGCGGCCGGAAGGCGGCACAGAAGCAGGATGGAGGAGAGCAGTTGCTTCCAACACGAGATGGCCGAAGATTTTTGCAGAGCTTTGTGCATTGACAATCACGTGGGCTCCTGCACTCGTCCTCGTCCGTTGCCAAACACCGCCCTCCACCAGCACCAGCCGACACTGCAACGCTAGTGAGTAGCACGGAACGGAAGTCTTTCTGGAGCATCAACCCAGGCCGCTGGAACGAACCGACACACGGCCAACGGACGGCTTATGCGACTTGAGCTCGAGTCACTGCCAGATGCAACAGATACAGATCAGGACAGCCAACCATGATTTGGCCCCTGCCGGCAACTTACTGGTCACTTACCCCTCTGGATAGCTTGCCGGCTGGAAAAGAGGCATCGTGGGAGCTTGTCCGAGGACAGAAAGCTCCACCGCAGCGCGAAAGGCGCACCCACATCTCACAAGACCAGGAGTCAGGTTCACTCCTGTAGAACAAACAGGAGCTCCTCAATGTCAGGGTCAGAGAAGGAAGATTGGCATCATTAGCAAAGGCTCCGGCCCCTGCACTCTCGCCAGCGGGCAGAGGCCTTTGCGAAGCTGGCATGCCACAAGTCTGACCTGCAAGACCTCTCCGCTTCTGCCTCTTGTCTTCAAGGCGACGCCCGCTCAAGCCGATAGTCCAGTTGACCTCTAGCCGAGCGTTGCTCATAGAGCACTGCCAGCAGCGGCTGTCCCAGATCCAGCATGGGGGCCTTTGTTGTCTTCAGCACCGAACCGAACTCATCTAACTTCTGCGGCTGCACGACACACAATGCGCCCTTGCGCGATGACATCAGCCTGCAAGGCAGCCTCACAAGCCTCAGATGAAGTGCTGCAAGGAAGTCCCACACACAAGGTTTGAAAGCTGCAAGAACGGCCCGGCACCAAAGACACGGGATTGGCTGTTGATCACTTTCACGACAAGACTGTTGTGTGGCAGCGGCGTACAGCTCCGGGTCCTGGCGGCGTCTGACGGGCCCGGTGTTCTAAAGTCAAGTTTACGCATCGTTAACTCGGTGACCGTGGCCTTTGGGAGAGTTTCTCTGGGTCCCTCTGGGTGCTGTTGTCCAGTGTCAGCGATTGCAGTCCAGCCTGACGGAAACACGGATGCACCATGGCAGTAGAACAAGAAACTCATTCTGAAGGAATGCAGCATTGGGAGCTGCAAGATGCAGAGCTGATGCTTCGGAAAAGTGCCGCACTCTTAAAGCAGAACTTGCCTCAAACCCTTCACGTCGCAGCAGACAACCCAAGCTGACCCCCAGACGACCCCTCGAAGGCTTCAGCAACACCACACCGATCGGAACCTCAGAGTTTCCTTCTCTGGATCGAAGAGCAGAGAAAAAGAGAGCACCGGGATTGTGACATAAATCACGCGCCGGGACCGAGAGCCGCAACGAAGACCTTCAATTATTCACCTGGTGTTTTTTAACAGAGAGACTTTTCGAGGTTAGGGTGGCTATAGATACCTTGTGTGAGGAGCTGCAGACAGCACAGGGACGCTGCGCACCGGTTGGGTGCACCCTTCATCAGCGAATCAGCTTGCCAGGAGTTTCAAGGGTACGGCAGGCAAGCCTCAGGCAACTCAGCTCAGATGCAGATCATGTAGACTAAGCTCGGCTGTGCTCCGGATGCGAGTCCCTGCCAGACATGTAAGCACTCGATCCATCAATGGCGAGAATTATCCTCGGTCGCCTTGCATCATGCAGGCACCACCTATGCCAGGACCAATGCAAGCCCGTATGTGAGCATTGCTCATGGAGCGTTGCCGGTAACAGCACGTGGGCCTTTCTAGCCTTCAGCCGAACTTCTGAGGCTGCACGATGACATCAGCCTGCAGGCCAATCTCACAAGCCCATGAAGCAGTGCCAGGAACTCCCGAGCACACGAGAACGCGATCCGCGAGCTGCCAAGGTAGCTGTGCACTAAAGTTACTAAAGACCGGGGACCGGATGTACATGGCTTTGAATACAAGGCTGCGGCGCAGTGGTGTAGATCTCCAGGCGATGACAAAGACCCCGGGTGGCGAAGGCATTGGTGCCTTCTGATTGCCTTGCCGGTGCAAGCCGCGCCAAGAGCGCGGCTTCACTGCTGGGCGCTTCCGTGCAGCTGCAGGGCGAAGGAAGGCCGTGAGCCGAGGCCGATGCCGAGCAGGGAGCTGCAGCGCCACTCCGCCGGGCATTTCCCTCCGTCTCCGTGCACGCACGATCTGTGCAGCAGGCAAAGTCGATCGAACAGTGTGGCCATCTGGCTGAAGCAGCTCTATTCGAGCTACTGCGACGCGGAGATTGCGATGATCGATAAGTGGGGGTTGTTCTTTATTATGGTTGCTTCTTACACTACTTTATCGCCTTTGCGCTCGCCCTTGCGTGCGCTTGCGCCGTTCTTGGTTTTGGAGCAGGTCCAAAACCTGCATCAACATATTACAGTGTGCTGTTGGTCGACGGTCAAGAGGCTGGTGTTTAGCGGTGCGAGTGGCTGTGTGCTTGGTAAAGCTTCGAGCAATAACTCCTTGTGAGAAAGACGCAGGATCAGCAAGGCACATGCAAGGCTCCGTGACTGACTTCTCTAGCTGCGCAGCTTTCTCGGCAGGTCTTAACAGAGCACTATCCCCTTCATTACCATACCCGTTGTTCAAGCTCCGGGTCCAGATTCGCCAGGTAAGAGCCTGCCAGAAGGTGGCTGCCTGTAGCCGAACGTATAAGGGATCCTGCGCGTCAACCGAAAACCAGGGGACCTCTTAAGTTGGCTTCAACTAGACATCTCGGCACGTGTCACTTGGCGTAAGTGGTGACCACCATCTGTGGCTGAGCTCCGCAGTGCGCTGGGCAAGCTGAAAGCACTCCGAGTAACCGCTGCAGCCAGCCGCCCAATCCATGCGGGTGTCTAAGAAACTATGGGGCATTGCCTGCCTTGAGCCCCCGACCTGAAATCATGTTGCACTTTTTGTAGCATGCTCGTTCCATGGCTTCCACGTTTGCAAAGAAATACCGTGCCTTGATGGAGTTGATAGCATACACGCACAAAAATGCATCCTAGTGCTCCAGGGGGACCAGCTCCGACACGGACGCAGCTGGGTAGTAAACCGTTCGGGACTTTGCGTGACATGACTGCGTTCCGCGAAAAAGGAAGCCCTGCTGTGGCAAGATGCTTATGAGCTGTGGCATGATCGCTCACCGTGACGAGCTGACATGGTTTGTGCAACTAAACAGCGATGATGGAGAGGTTCCGAATGCCTACTTGACCACCCAAGAGGTGAAAGAGTCTCCACTCGGTGACCAAGGAAGAGATGAAGAGCCCTCCTGTTGTTGAAAAGCGAAGGCAGGGTAAGGCGGACACTCTCCAAACCGCAGGTGCTCCCTCTCAGGTTGAAGGCTCCTGCCGTAGAGAACAGAAAGAAGCCGGCCTTTGCAAAGACCGGGGAACAGAGCCGGAGCCGGCGGCTCGTGGCTGTGGAAGCCGTTGTCGGCACTTCTCGAAAGAAAGCAAAGGGATCGCGACGAAGGCAACGGCCCACGGAGGCCGACAGCTCGCAGAGCTCGCAGACTCTGCTTGGTTCCCTTGAGCACAGCGAAAAGTGCGAAGAGCAGCGCCAGGTGAAGGCCGACGGGGCCGGCATGCCTGTGGTTCTAGCGGCCTAGCGAATCAAACACCGCGTGCTTTGGCTGCTGTCACTTTAGACGGCTTGCCTGTGGTGATTTCGAGATTCTAGACCAGTGACACAGAAGGAATCCTAAGGTATACGTCAACTCAAAAGGCAGTTCAAGCCCGAGCTGGAATTGCCTAGTTCTCCCGACTCGGAGACAACCTCAGCAGACGTGGCTACACACCCGCGCGATTCGGTTTTTTAAGCTCGCACATGCCTAGATATGCGTCTGCATATTCATATGTGTTTGGGGGGGAGCTGGGTTGGGAGCCGTTGCCATGAGGCGTGCATGGGGGTAAGGGAGGTGGATTGTGATGGAGAAAGCATCAGTTTCCATCCGCCAGCACTGGCCAAGCGAAGGCGCAGTCACGCAGGAACGGCTGAGACACCCGGGCCAAGCTGAGGCGGTGCTGACCGGCGCAATCCGCTGCAGCTAGGGCCAGGTCCCGGCTGGATGGATCAAAGCCTGGCTGTGGTGAAAGCCCCATGCCCATGCTAACAGGGAGGAGTCCAAGGCGTGGGATGGTGCTTATGGCTGCAAGACATGCGAAGTTCCCCATCTTCCGAATAAATCAGAGGAACTCGACGCATGCAGTTTGACGGCAGGTTTCCATTAAGCACCTCGAGCTTTCCCTCGCAGTATCTGTTACCCCTCGTTCCGCAGAGGTCAAGCTGAACTTCTTGAGTGCGGAGCTTGATGGCGAGCTCCCCTCCCGACCGAGCACTGACGCTCTGCCAGGATGGTGCAACCTTGGCATCAAGTGTGCACGAAACTGCAGCACTGAGGCGGGCGAGCATCCGGATTCTCACCTTCGGACCAAGCCAGGCCTGCACGTCGACGAAAGTTGACGGATGTTTGGAGCGCAAAGTACGCCGGCATCATGGGAGTCTTCAGGTTCTCGTGTGATACTTATGAATGCACATGAACGCCAAGACCTTTGACTGTTCGAAAGTAGAGGTCTGCAAGTCTTTGCATATACTGGCAGCGAGCTTCGGGCAGCAATTCTAACACGGAAAGGTTGTTTCAGCGGGCGTGGACACGCAGATAGAGGCGCTTCCTCACGATTTATTGCGAGAAGAGATGCCTGTGCCATGAGATCTTAAGCTTTCCAAAACACCGACAGGAAGCCGGATGTCTTGGTGCTGGCCTACTCCAAGGCATGGCACCTTGCTCGGCCCCGGTCTACAAGGACACGGGAGCTGTGGGCAGCAACCGGCGGGAACATACTATTGGACTATGCTTTGCTGTGCCTGCCCCATGTCCGTGCCAGACAACCACGTCCGCTTCACCCAATCTTTGGAACCAGCAGACTCGCGAGAATGGCAACACAAGGCCCAAAACTCGGGAAGGACTTTCTTGAACTCGGGGTTCTCAAGCTTGGGTCCTCAGTACATGGCATGTCATGGCATGTCAACTTCACTCAGAAGGCAACTCAACCGAAAGTCGTGGGCAACATCAAAAAAATCTGCTGACACATCCGAGGCTCACCAGCTAGCGATCACATGACGGCAGCATGGCTCCTGCAGCAACGCAA